ATCGGAGTTAAGCAGACCTCGCCCGCTGCCGGTTGTCCCGCCGCCGATCTCCATCACCCCAACGATCGGTGCTCTGCTGATACAGCGAGCAACACGGAGCATGCCACCAACACCCTGTCATGCTGCAGGGTCTGCTGTGCCTGTATGCACCTGGCGATTTTGAGCGAAGACACCTCCATGTCCTCAGCGGGAAGCAAAGTATGGAGATCCTTGGCGAGACCCAACATTTTCTCGAGGACCAAGGCGTCAAGGCCATCGTGATCCATTCTCGGGAACGCGGCCTTCGCCAGCACCAAAAGCACACTCCTGTAGGCGAGGGCCGACTCACCATCCCCTCTCCACCTCACGGCGAACTTCTGACGGGTGTTCAGCGGAGGCTCGAAAGTGGCAGCCATCTGGTCAAACGGCTGCATGAGGGGGACCTCTCGGACAGCGGGATGGCAAGGAACGCCGCCAAAGCATCATCGTTAAGGGCGGCGGGGAGTGGTTTCAGCGCGTCCGCCTCTGACTACCACGCCATGTCGTCATAAGTGAGAAATCGCCAATTAAATTCCACCCAATCGCCGCTGGCGGCAACAAATTCTTGAATGAAGGGCAGCCGACGGTGGAGCGACTGGAGGTCGATCGACGAGGACGTCCCTGCTTCAAACTTGGCGGGCTCTGCACTTCCCGCCGGCGGCAAAATGACGTCTGCTAGCACGGGCAGCGGCGATGGCGTTCCCGCCTTTTGTGAAATGGCAGCCAAGTCGCCACGTCTGGACGGCTCTGCCGCCCCCCTCCTTCGCTGTCGAGGGTAGAGACCGTATCTCGATGCTGCTTGGAGGAGGTCAGTGAGACGGCCGTGTGCGTCCCTGACGAGCTCCTCCACTGAAGGCAAGGCGCTCCGCGCCCCGACTGCGCCCTGCTTTGCGGGCAGCATCTCCACTTCATCCTCTGCGGCCGTGGGCTAAATCAGCTCCTCCTTGTCTCCTGCTAATATATTTTTTTGTTTGCATTCTGACCACATGTATTGTGGTTAATGCAGACATGATTCCTTGTAAAAGGTTTCAGTTTGGTGTTTTAACATCTCAACACTTGTTTTGTTGCCAGAAAAATGGGAAATCCTATTTTCATACATACTATAGAGTTGGAAGATACTAATATAGAGTAAATTTATACTACTATAGATTAATTAGTTACTACTATAGTCATTCGAGACTACGGTAGAGTTAGTAGTTACTACTATAGAGTCGGTAGATACTACTGTAGAGTAGGTAGATACTACTATAGAGTCAGTAGATACTACTGTAGTGCTTCAATAAAGACATACACACTTCGTTAGTTGAGGCGAGCCTTTATTTAACACTTCCCTTATGGGACAGGTTCTATAATTGGTGTAAACGTAACTACCCCTATGTAACACTGTAACACTATGTAACCCCCTTACACACGAGGTTATTGAAGATCCCAACCTGACGACGTGACCCGACCCACCGAATATTACCCAAAATGACGACCTCTTTACTGTAGCACGCTGCCCTTTTATCCCCCTAGCGGGGCATTCCCCCCACCCTCTGGCTATGGCCTCCTTCTGGTACTCCACAACAGGCTCGCTCCCTTAATTACCCGAATGATGGGATATACCGGAATTACACTACTATTGAGTCAGTAAATACCACAGTCAGTAGATACTACTATAGTCAGTAGATACTACTGTACTCAGTAGTTACTCCTGTATAGTTAGTATATACAACTACAGAGTCAGCAGACACTACTGTAGAGCCAGATACTACTGTAATGGGCTCAACTGAGTCGCAGACGTAGACTTGGAAGCAACACATTTATTCAGTTTTAACACACAGGGTAACGTCCCCTTCACAGAATAACAACCTAAGGTGGTGACCACCTGGCTAACTACACTAGTTACTACGTAAATGCTACTATGGACTGGGACCAATAATGTCGGCCCGGGTCCACGTGTAGGAGACTCGTTGAACGGAGAACGTAGATGAAGGGTGTCTTCCAGGATGAACAACAACCCTGGTCCCTCTCGGGACCCGGCTTATATTCTCTGTGGCATGGCCGGCTCCGCCCTTGGCCACATCCACCTTCTAGATCCTCGGGAAGGATCTGGGTCTCAATCACGTGACCCCCCTTAGCCCCTTCTTGGGGCCCCTCTGTCAACTTAACCAGTCACGTGTCCTCCTGGGTCAACCAGAGTGCCATGGTCTCACACAACCTTATCCTTCGGTCGCACCCACACACCCTGTGCTGTTGGGTCGGCACTGCACTTAAAGCATGGTGCCATCCAGTGCTATTATTCAGCGCACACCTTGCCCATCTAGGGCCGGTACTACACCCACAGCATATTGACATCCAACGATGTCAATACACTATTATACAGTCACTCGATACAACTCACTCTATTGTATGTAGGGTGTGTAGGTATATATGCCTAAGGGGGGTAAAAAAAAATTTTGATGGTGGGGGGTGGACAATTTTCGGAAACCTTTTAGATGAACTGTTTACCCCCCACTCTCTATTACTTTTTGATTCAGGACTTCTGCAAGCCTCTTATAATTTTGTTGATAGACAAGTGGACAAACGAAACGCCGGGTTTTCACAATAGATTAGTATTTGTGTATGTTTATGCTATGTTTTTAAGAGAAGACAAGTCTTGAAATATATTTTTCCCCCTGGCAACGCCGGGTACTTCCTGCTCATAAACCGTAAAGTTGAGCTATACTTACCTCATCCCATGTCCATATTCACTTATGTAGAAGATTACAGCGCTGTGCTTGGGAGAGGACGGGGGGAAGACCCTGCTTCTCGTGGGTAGGGGAGGGGGAGGTGACTCTGGGCAAGATTGACGAGAGAGTGAGGAGCCTTGGATAGATTTACAGGAGGGGATTGGCCAAGGGGAGCGAAAAAGAGAGAGACTGTATGGATAGGCCACGCCAAGTAGACTGCTTGGGCACCGTACATTTAATTTATTCAGTGTAAAAGTGAGACTGGTGCCTCCACCCACCCCAGCATGCGCTGCTCGTGCCTCGGGGTGACACTGGGCGCCGGAGGAGCACAACCCTGAGTGGAAAGAGGGATAGAGTTTGGCACAGGAGCCGCGACCCAACGCCGCGTGGAAACCTTCCCTTGCCTTGTAAAAGCACGGGAGGGGATATCTTCTACAGGCAAGAGGATTCTGGGTTTGCAGATGGCTACTGAGTCTTGAGATGATAAGTCTCACATCGGAGGAATAACGTCAAATCGTGGAGTCTGATAAACACGGACACAGGAGCAGGTTTAAAGCATCTTTATTGTATAACACAGGTGTGCACACATGAGATATGCTTCTAGGCAAAATGTACAAAGATTATCAGTGAGTTGAGGGCAGAGAGTTATTTTACATGAGTGATATATCAGGCTTCAGGGAAATTGGTTAAATGGTTCAAATGTTTTCAAAAAATTTTTTAATGTGTGCCGTGGTAAGGTAATTTCTGAGGAGATGTATTTTAAAGGTACAGTACGGGTTCATGTGTGATCACATTTTAAGTTTTCAGGCAAGGAAAACGAACAGGATGAATGTGATTCACAGGTGGTTTCAGAGGCCTTCAGGTAGAGACAAAGGTCCTGGATAAACGTTGTTTTACAAGTTGTGTTAGTAAGTCCTTCAGGGAGAGAGTCCTGGAGCTGAGTGTTACGGGCATTTGATTTGAGACAGGAAGGGTGTGAACCAGTTTTAAGGTTACAGGCAGAGTGGTATTTAGGCCACTCCCGGCCATCGCAGTGTCTGGTTGGTGGTCGTGCCCCACCTTCGCTGTGCGCGTTCAAGAAAACATCCGTCCCGTGTATATATATACATTTTTAAATCAGAAACTCTTTTAGTTTCATTCAACTGAGTTGACATCTGTAAGAGGTCTACCTTCATAATGCCTTTTTCTTCCAATTGATATCCCGATTGTGCTATCGGCTTCACGTCATGAGACAAATACTCCATTGAGATCTCCTGCAGAGCAGTGCAACCCTTGGTGTTACATAATGGCCCGCGGAAGCGGATATCACAGACCTACCTCAGAGACCACTGCAGGTGATCTCCGTTCGACGCAGCAGGATGCAGCACTTTTCCCACCCTCCTGTTACAGGGATTAATCTTCAATCCATGACAGGCAAACCAATAATTTGAATAGTCAGAGCTGTAATTCAGACAAATCAAGTGCAGAACCAAATGTTAAGTGGTCGGGGTTTCTTTGTATGCCGTCATTGACGATTAGGCAGAGCCTTGAACGCACGACCCCCGACAGTGAACCGCATTTTCCCGCATATAGCCCGCATACGCATATAACCCGCAGACACATATACCCCGCAAAAATAGCGTTTTGTGTAATACAAGTTTCAGATATCCCGCACCTCCATATACCCGGCATGCATTCATATATTTAATGTCGTTACAGCAGCTTAATTCCATCAGATTAATACAAAGTTTACATTTGCAATACATTCCACTATACATTGTTAACATTAAAATCATAACGTGCGCAAAGAAAACAAACTAACCGGAAACGAGTGAACATTAAACAGTAAAAAAGTACCAAAAGTAAATATCCAATAAGTAACACATAACTGGTAGATAAGTAAGTACAGTTTTAGCACTGGTAGATTGCGCACTGCGCAGACAATAGCGGCACTACGGTAACGCCATTGCCTCGCTCCCAACCCCCCACCTCTCTCTCCCCCCAGCTCTCCCGTCGCCGCCACAGACCTTGCTCTGCCCCACCCCCCAACCCCCCACCTCTCTCTCCCCAGCTCTCCCGTCGCCGGTATCCAAAGTGCGCCCACTTCAAACATTGTTGTTTCATTGTACAAACAATTCGAATCATTTAAAACGTGATAACATTTTAACAATTTTAGTGTGAGTGGTTTATTCAGCAGTGCTTTAGTCAAAGGTAAGTGTTGCATAGTGGATAGTCCTACCGTGAAAAAAATTAACGAGTCACACGTGTAAAATATTTTTGAGATAGCCCGCACCTCCATATACCCCGCATGGTCTTGTTTTGTTAGTAAGAAGTGGTATACCCCGCGGGTTACATGCGGGAAAATACGGTAATCACTGAGTTAAATCACGAGTTACTGCCTGGATTCAAACTCAGGATGACAGCATTGCCATCTCAACGCTCTGACCTCCGCAAGCCTCCTGGCCACCTCTTTGAAAAAAATGTACTTATCTGGTGAGTTATGAAGCCCATCAATCATTCACTCAATCTGCCGTATGGAAGATGGATATGAGCACACCTTATATAAGCACATTTCTGATACAAACACCACACATCCTTGCATTATCATTGTCTTTTTTCTAAATGCTGCAACAGTTATTTCACCTTAAAAAGGCAGTTTTTGATTAACTTTTTGAAGCTGTTGCACTTGACTGGACTTTGTTGCTTACATTACGTTTTGAATAACAGGCTCCAGGTATCTGTAGAGCCCACCTTTGCATATCCAGCACTGACTGGACGTATAGGTGGATATATGAACACTGATATAAAATGAATTACCCCATGCACACGTAGTCTTCTATACATAAATGAAGCACTAATCGCTTTAAACACAGGGAATTGCTTTGGGGTACTTCAGAAGCTAAACTACATATGACTGCATATGAAAAGGTCGAATTTGTGAACGTCTAAAGGAAATGCCAATTACACCGTGCACCAACACTGCACTTGGGTATGTGTGATCAGTAAATTATTTTTCTTCCAGCATCTAACCACTCACTCGGCTGCCACGCGATTTTCTGCCATGTTTTAACTAGCAAATGGTGCAGGATTGGTCCATAATGTCCCCTATGGTGGCGAAAATACCATGGCCTCTTTTCTTCTTCGAAAACATCTTCATCTGATGCTCATGCTCTTTTTGCAGCGACTCCAGTTTCTTGTCCGTCTGTTTCTCCACCTCCCTGAGTTTGTCACTGAATGACCGCTGGTTTGTCTGCGCATGCACACAAAGACAAAATCCTTTGTATAGCCTTAACACTTGGCAATGCAGTTAGCATTGCACACAAGAGGTAGGTGGCTAGCAATATGCCTGGCAACCTTAATTTCTCTAAGGGGAATGTTTTCACAGCGAACCAGATACTCATTTGAGGCGGCCTAGGGAAGACCCAAGACTGGCTCAAATGTTTGTATTTTGTGTTGGTGGTGAGCGGGAGTAAAACTCGTGTCACCGGGTTTCTAGCGCAGTAAGTGAACCATTTCGCCACCGCTATCTGTGTGTACGCAAACACATGATTCCCAATTGATTTTGGCGTTATGCCACGTAAATATCTAAACAACTGTGTTGTGACATCCTCCACCGACCCGATGCAGCCAGATACTGAATTGTCACGTGCTGTGCAAGCGTTGTCATGCACGAAACATTATTGTTTCAGCTAACCAGCAAGTTGAAAGAGCAATTCTCACAACCGAATTTTAGCAATAGACACGACGTTTCATTGGGAAATACAAATCGCATTTGGTGGGGTAAAGTGTGGAGTTCTCCAACCTATTCTAATACGTACTCTTTGGTTCTTTCAGTAAAGTCACGTAGGTATAAAATAAATTAAATCACGACGTTTCGGTCGCAACACAAGCAATCATCAGATTGTATTCTAAAACGTCTTATCTAGTGCAGGGGTCAGCAACCAAAACAACAAGGTGAGCCATTTTTTATTCGGTAAAACCAAAATATTTCAAGAGCCGAAATGCATGTGAATACGAGACTGTCCTTAATAAATAACATCATGAAACAATCCTCAATGAGACGCATGTGGCTCCGGAACCGCAGGTTGCTGACCCCTAATCTAGTGTGAACAAGTATGCCAACATATTCTAGATTTAAAGCTTTCGTGACTGCAAGGATCCATACGCTTTGGTTCTATTCGGTAAAGTCAAGTAACAACAACAAAAATTTCACGACGTTTCGGCCACAACACAAGTGGCCTTCATCAGGTGAAGGGACCGTGCTGTCATGAGGACAGCGTTGGAGTGAAAACAGCCAAGCCCAGGTCGCGTCCTTTAAGCTGTGTGGGAGGAAGCAAAGCACTTGACAAAGGAATTAGTATAGAAATGAGCACGATATACGTAGGAGGTGTGATCCCTTCACTCACTCCACTCACTCCACTCACTCACTCCACTCACTCACTCCACTCACTCACTCCACCTATTCACTCCACTCACTCACTCCTCTCACTCACTCCACTCACTCACTCCACTCACTCCACTCACTCACTCCACTCACTCCACTCACTCCACTCACTCACTCCACTCACTCCCCCCCCCCCCCCCCCCCCCCGCTGCTGGTCCGTCATGGTCCCCACCCGCTCCTGGTCCATCAATTAAGAAACCATTGGAAAGATGTTCTGAATCAAACCAAACATTAAGCTAATTTTCAATGGTACAGTAAAAAAATTTAAGCAGTGGTATCCCAAACTTTCGCAGCTGCTTAAATTCCCTTTTCACACCATCAAAATGTGGGTTCCCCCCTCTCCCCCTCGCCTGTCTGCACTTGCTCCCCAATACATCGTCCTTCATTCTAAGTCCGACAATGAAATGCTAACTTTTATGCTAATTCCTTTGTCAGGGCGCTCGGCTTCTTCTCACACAGCTTAGAGGTCGCAGTCTGAGCTTGACTGTGTGCACTCCAGCGCTGTCCTCTGGACAGTCTGGTCCCTTCACTCACTCTACTCACTCCACTTACTCACTCCACTCACTCCACTCAGTCACTCACTCCACTCACTCACTCCACTCACTCACTCCACTCACTCACTCTACCTGCTCACTCCACTCTCTCACTCCACTCACTCACTCCACTCACTCACTCCACTAACTCCACTCACTCCACTCACTCACTCCACTCACTCCACTCACTCCACTCACTCCACTCACTCACTCCACTCACTCACTCCACTCACTCACTCCACTCACTTCACTCACTCCACTCACTCACTCCACTCACTCCACTCACTCACCACTCCACTCACTCACTCTACTGCCCCCCCCCCCCCCTGCTGCTGGTCCGTTATGGTCCCCACCCGCTCCTGGTCCATCATGGCCCATACATCTCCTACGTATATCGTGCTCATTTCTATACTAATTCCTTTGTCAAGTGATTTGCTTCCTCCCACACAGCTTAAAGGACGTGACCTGGGCTTGGCTGTTTTCACTCCAACGCTGTCCTCATGACAGCACGGTCCCTTCACCTGATGAAGGCCACTTGTGTTGTGGCCGAAACGTCGTGAATTTTTATTTTTATTTTTTGTTGTTTGTTACATGACTTTACCGAATAGAACCAAAGAGTATAGGCCAAAATACCCATCGCAGGGCCTCTCAAGAACTCGCCCTATTGCACGCCCTTCCACCAGCAGTGGTGCGTGCAAGCCATTGCAGGGCTGCACCTCTACCTAATTAGCCCTCTCCTCTGCCCACCCACGAGTGTCAGCACGCACCTCCATCTGCATCTTGAGCGCGCTGATTTGCGCTTCCTGCTGGGCATTGGTATTCTCCAGCGCCCTCTGCTGCTGGACCAGTCTCTTCTCCATTTCCTCCGTCTCTGTGTGCCCCAAATTCACAAAAACAACACCGACACGCAGAGTACACCGCCATGGTGCGATGGTTATCACACTGGACCGTCGACAGACATCGCCGCTTATTTTGGATCTCTCTCCGTGGCAGTTGAAACAATTGATCAACTTTCTTAAATCGCTCCACCACTATGGTACCCGGGGGTACCGTCATAAGGTTTATTTGTTCAATCATACTATTTTCTAACGAACAATATAACTTTAATCTACGCAGAGTATTTTTTTATGAAAAATTGTGCAAAGAAGCATGGAGTGGCTCATCTTTCGAATTACACCACGAGGGAGGAAGAGGAACACGTGGATCAGATAACGTACACAGGTTAGAGACATTGTATCGACTGTCAAGGCTAGGGCTGGACTTCGCGAGAAGGGATTGACGATGACCGCAAATGGTCAAGACTGGTGATGGAATGGCACTAAAATTACAACACAACGTGCATTTTTATATCATCTCAACGAGGATGCATGTCAAGATGCTTGTGCAGAAGTGTAACTAACAACATCGACACTGCAGCTCCAAAGTCTGAGTATGTTCCCGCGTTAGAGGAGCTCGTGGTTTTGAGAAGATATGCAAGTTAGAGACCCAACATGAACTGTTAAGATGAGTATGAAGGCCCGGAGAGTGTGTCGCGAGCAGGGATGATGAATGATCTGGCAATGGATTAATGTAATTGTGAGACCGAGGCCTTCATCTAGCAGTGGATAAACCTCTGCTGATGAGGACCAGTTCGCACCAATTCTCTGCTTCTGCAGCTCAGTCACGCTCTTGTCCATCATGAGGATGAGATGTCCCTCTTCTTTCTTCAGATCGATGAAGGCCAGGAGCACCGCCTCCATCTGTGTGAGAACCGCAAGCGAGAGGCGTGAGTGCCGTCTTGAGTATATATTACATCGGGGATCTTGCACATCTCTGTAGTGGAGGTGCACGGGTAGTGATGAGTTGGGTCTCCCCATGCAGTGTGGCCATGGAAGTAATCTGATTCTACTTCCCTATTGCTGGTCAAGGCGTTGTTTGTGAAGGCAGGGAGAATAGGAAGTGCAATCAATGTTGCTGCACTGCCCTCTACTGCGTACAACATAGCCTCGCACCCACTTTTGCCAATCTGTCATGAATGGCGGTCGCCCTTCCATGTGCTATCCCGGCTCAACCCAACGTATCTGATGAGATTGGTCGCATGCCGGGTGACCTTGGTCAGTGGGTGCTATGGTGGCAAGATGTTAACTACGTAGCCTGGTATATAGTGACTCTAGACACAATGAGGTGTCTCACCTCGTCGCCCAGGCCCTGCGTTGTACGGTAGCTCTTCTCGGCCGCGTCCATCATGCGCTTGTATTCCTGGTAGCCCCCGGGCTTGATGAAGATCTTTTCGGCAACTCTCACGCGGATGGGCTCGTAGAGCTCCGACAGGCGCTGCTTGCACCTCTGCATGGATGTGTCCTTGTTCTTCTGATTCCAGTCATCGTACGCAGTCACGAGTGAGTCCTGTGGGAGAGAAGTTTGTGGCCATGGTGGTGATTGTGCTCATGATTATGCTTTTTCCGTGTTTTTAATTACGTGCTATCGTATCCTGAAGTAAAGAATCCGTTCGAAATGATCACAAAGCAGCGCGAGATAAGGGCCTGCGGAAGTGGATATGCCAGAACTGATTGTGAATTCAAAAGGGCAACACTTTCCCACCTGCCCTGGTGCAGAGAGCGAGAGATAGAAAGCTGGCGTGTTTCATCTTCAGATGGATTTCAGCGACACCATATGTTATGGTACCTTTTGTGCCAAAACGCAGAGTTTTGGAAATCACATTTATGAAATATACAATGACGGTGTCCACTCACCATGAGCTCCTTCTCGTGCTTATGCTCACAGTCGAGCACGGACCGTTGGTGGAACGCCTCCACCGCTTGCTCCAGCGCGTGTTGGTGGAATTCGTTGAGTTTGGCAATGGGTAGGGGCAGCTGCTGGTTTACGGCTTCCATCCTTTTCTCGTAGAGCGACATCGCATCCTCCCTGGCCTGCATGTTCGCCAGTGTCACCACCTGCGTTAGGGCACTCTCGATGCACGGAACATCGCCCGAGCGCTGGGAATTCACGTACTGCTCCGTCAGCTTTAGGAACACTGTGAGAGGTGAGTACGAGAGGTGGGGGGGGGGGGGGGGGGTGAGAGGGCACGTTGGTGAGACGAGATGTAATCTGATGTAAAGGCCACACAGCAGGTGTAGAGGCCACCTATTTACACCGCCGATGGAAGATGAATAGCAGCCCCCCGCATTGCGACCGCAACTATCAGAGCCAAATCATGGAACAGATCATTCAACAATGGCCTATGCTTCGTTCATTCACTGGCAGCGTCTCAAACATTCACAATGTTGCTCTCCCTTAGCCCTCAACTGGCTCACCAACCTCGACCTCAACCTAAAATGCACCGAATCGCCCTGACATAAGATCGAAGAAATGTATAAATTGTCGTTATTAATTGGTGCCTTTCACAATGTGTCAATACACCAAAATAATTCTGATTGTAATTACGTGAAAGGAAAAAAATTCTGAAACTAGTGGGAAGCCCATTGGAGAGTCAATGTTTACCCATCTTCGCATACACCCCTCTCCAACGGCATTTGCCTTTCTGTTGTATGAATAAAAAATAGGAATCGTGTCACCCAATGGGCAATTGTAAATGGACGATCAGGTAAGCAATACCAATTTGCTTAATGAGTCAAATTATTGGGTCAAATGTCAGGAGTCTTCTTCGTGATTTTGACCACATCAAATATGCAATGAGCTTTCAACTGATTCACTCATTGTTTTTTTTCGGTAAAGTCACGTATAAATAAGAAATAATAAAATAACATAATAGCGTACGACGTTTCGGTTGCAACACAAGCAGCCATCATCAGGTACAGAAGAGCTAAATTTACGAGAGAGAGGAGACACATAACCCCAGATGTATATACAGACACCCAAGTAGGGGGAACTTTACCGAAAAAAAAACAAAGAGTAATTCCTGCAGTCACGAAAGCTTCGAATCAAGTCTTTCAACTGATTCCCCAATTCATTTAAGTTCGTGGAGCGTTCTCAACGTATGCCAGACAAGCGTACATATTGATTTATTTCATTTTCCAGATAATATGCAGCTACATAATATTTATATTTGTTTCATTCATGTAAAAAAAATTCAGAAACTGCAACATTATTTCACCGCACCTGCCCACGTTTATATTCATCTACAGCCTGTAAGTGGTATGTGCTATGGAGTTGAGTGCGTTGATAAGGATTTGAATTGGGCGATTAAATCCCTTGGCATCTCTGATCATTTTGCTTCAACCTAACGAGCTGGAAATCCTACTAATACATTTATTGATCGTTGCTACTCAATTCATCCGCACAAAAAAAAGTCTAGCCAAGGGTCCACCAGTGGCAGCTTTGTCTGTGCAGCAAGAATATGCAAGTGGGCAAAAGACTAGCAATGCAGGTTTGTTTTCCAAATTAAATAATTTGTGAGTAATCAATAAATGATGACAAACTGGAACTCAGACGCTGACTCACTTGGTCTATTTTTATAACATTAAATTTGTAATGTCCGCACAGAATCGAACGGAGCACATGGCTTTATGGTGAATACACAGTGCAGTGTTAACCAGGGCGGCCACTGGTCGTGTACTGCTGGGCCGCTTCGCTAGCGGCTGGACTCACGGGGACCCGTGAGCACTGCGTTGTCGACGTGCTTGATGTGCGCCGTCTGGAGGATGTGAGTCGTGAAATCCTCTGCCGTTTGCAGGAACTCAGGGTTCAATTGCTGCTCCGAAATGGTCTCCAGCTTATGCAGGTCTTCAGGGTGGGTTGGCATCGGGAACACAAAGCATTTCCGTTTCTGCAGGGATGGTAAACGAAGGCATGAGATGTGCGCAGCTTTATATAGGAAGAGTTTAACTCATTGTTTTATATATCTTATCAACGAATCCTACTGCAAAAGATGGATCATTATTGTTGTTGTTTTACTTGTTTAACCAGAAAAGTCTTCCCGAGTCCCAAGACTTTCTGCAGGAGGGATTGTGCCAAGTTTTCACAGTAGGAGGCAATGTTGCTTTGTGTAAAATCCAACTCCGTAATATTGCGGGCAATTCAGCATTAGCAAGTCCAGCCAAAACAGTTACATTTTTAAAATCTATAGGATACAACTGGGGAACCCAGAGAAACCTCAGGAAGAACAAGAGAACATTATACAAACTCAATACGTAAAGACGGTGTAACTGAAAGAACCAAATAGTACGGTGTAACTGTTCCGCCCTGTCCCTCTCCTCCCGTCATGAATCCTAACGAGGGGAACTGGTTGGAGAAATAGGCTTCAACAATAAAATAACAGTAATGTTCGGAGACGATGAGTCGGTACTCCGCGTTGTTTTCTGTCCTTCGGAGGAGTGGGCGACTCCACAACAACTGAGCACCGGGGTTTGTGGAATGGCTGAACTATTTTTTCAAAGTGTTCCTCTGAAGGGAAATTGCGAATCTGCAATAGCGACCAGACACACCCTCCACGTCACAACACCGCAGCTCAATGTATCAGCACGAAGTCCGCCCAAATCTGAATTGGGGGCGTGCAATGTATTCGACTGTGCAAATGGGGCTCGGGGTACAATCCCTGATCACATTTGCGTTCAAATCAAAATTAAAAACGCACCTGGCTCTCCGTAACTATTAGGAGAGTGCACAATTATACGTGTGATTAATCACAGGTGAGCTCACACCAGCTACATCAGGAATGTAACCCAGGCACTTCTTGCTGTGAGGCACAAGTGTTTCCACAGTACCATCCTGTCACCCATCAAAATCAACACCCATTCCCTCTCTCCATCCATCTGACCCTTGCCCTGTGATGAGGTCATGTGGGAGAGGTTGTTGTCAGTTGGCGACTTAATTCTGGAAGTGACGAGAAAATCCATTGCAACAGAAACATGAGTGCCAGCTGGAAACAAACAGATTTGAGAACACACAAATGTGTGGCCTTGCATGTGCAAGGATATTGCGTGGCTTGTGGGCTTGGGAGATGGTCGTGGTGACAGGAGAAGGAAAGGTCACACGAGGTGACTGTCCAGAGCATCCCAACAAGGCTGGGAGAGTTTGAGAAGTGGGGCGTGGCCGGGGGCGGAGCTTGGCCACGGTAAGGGGGATATAAGGAAAAGGCTGAGGGGGGTTCGGGGCAATTTGGGGAGTCGGGGTCTGGATCGTCATTGATGGAATCATTGTCATCGTGGGGATCATCGCTATCTATTATCGTTGTCGTCAATGTCGGGGTCATCATCATCTAAGTTAACACCGGCACAGACGGCTACATCGATGTCTCCTGATATATAGTCGACCAGCTATATAGGAACGTCGTGTAGCAGCTACATCTCATTTGCCTAAGTCCGCTGGTAATACTGAATAAATATAACTTTTGGACAACGTCTCTAGGTGCTACGTTACACATGTATAAAACCTCTCAGCCTTTTCCATATCACCAAGTCAAAATATCTAATTGTGTGGCCATATTGTCGAATTGACCACCAACTTCCACGGATGCCTTGTTAGATACTGCACATATATTAACCATAAAAATACTACGACCCATCCACTTCACAGTTGACGTTAAAGATTCCATGCCATAATTTACAAGTGTAAGGCACTGTGTGCCGGCATCATGGTTCATGTTTGACAAATGATACTGCAACATACTCAATTGTGATCACACAGAGCAACCATAACTCCCTACTATGAAACCAAGGCAGGATTCCCCTTGAAAAATTGTCATGCGACTTAGTGAAGCTTCCCTGGGTGAGCCAGCATAGGGCGTGAGAGCCCACCTTGAAGAAGCTGCTTAGGAGCTCCCTCTGCTCGTTGAAGGAGCGGCAGTTAGCTGTCATCCCCTTCTTGCGTATACCCAGACAGTGCTCCAGGTACTGGTCGGCGTCGCAGGCCTTGCCCTCGATCTCCAGTTTGAGTGTGAAGTCGCGCACGCACACAACGAAGGATGGGAAGTACCGCTTGAAGTCTTGGCCCACTTCGTCCTCTCTCTGGTGTATTTTGGTGCGCACGTGCTCCGTCATGTTGGCCACGAAACTGCGAGGGATTCACAGTCAAGGAGCGGCCATAACGGCATTGTACGTTATGGCCACTCATTGAACGTCATTCAAAATGTAATGCTGCAGAATGGGAATTAAAAGGTGGTAGCTGGATGGACCCTCCATACACATTTTCTGCAGGCTCATCCAGCTTTTTGTAGTAGGTGCGATTTTACTATACATTATCCCCAAATGAGAAATTTACACTTTTATAAAAACAAAAAAGTGTCATATTTGGACCCTGACACTGGCACACCATGGCCGACTCGGTGTAGGGCTGGGAGTGGGAATCAGTTCTCCTGGAGATGAAGGTGTACGGGGAAGGGTGTGAGAGGAGGGTCTCCTGGAGATGGAGGATACTGAAGTTGATCGAAGCCATCCTTGCTGAGCACACCGGTCGTGTTCCACACCAGCGTGGTGCTCAGCAGCACGGCCATCACGAAGAGCCACGTATCGTGATTGTCACCAGCCTGCAAGGAGAACACGATGTCACGATCATGATGATTGTGGAGGAGCTTGATGATTATAGTCAGCACATCATTTTAGTCAGGTCGGTCCGGGCTAATGATGATGATCATTGTAGCGATGGTGGTTGCCATGATGATATTCATAGTAATCTGCCAGGGATAAAATACACATACGTCCGCTATGAGAACTGTTACAAGACCGCTCCAATCGTAATAAATCAGATTTCAAGTAAAAGCTTGCCCTAGATAAATTTAACACGTCACAGCCTCTCACCACCAATGTTACGATTTGTAGCCATTTTAGGCTTTCCTTTAATGAGTCGCATGTATAAATGTGCACTCTGTAGCATATGGAAACCTCACAAACCATTTTTCACAACTAGTGAAAGCCAGGTACGTTTTATTACGATGATTATGATAAGAGAAGGGAGTGGTGATCAAGGATTGAACCCGGAGCCCGCACGTGCCAAATTTAGATTTGGGCTAACTTCTGGACCGGTAAGCTGTATGCTACATTAGTTCCAATAATATATAACTTAAATTGATATTCATTATAAAGCCTACATGTTAAACTTACATTGATATTACTTGAATGAAAATCGACCATCAGGAACTCAGTCATGTTATTTGACTGTTCGTGATAATGAAGATATGGACAATTAAGACTTTGATATCAAAGTTTATTTCAATATATAAAATACTACAAATAATTGGATCTAAAATATTAACACTGGCGCTCAATCCCATTAACAGAGGAATTCAGCTGCGGCTTTGTGACGTGGAGCGTGTATCCGATCACTATTGCAGGTACGAGAAGTTCACTTATTTTTTAGTTATGTTTTTGTGTCAGAAATCTTATCAGATAGTGTCGCGCCTCGTGATGAGTTGTTTAATTATTATTACGAGTATTGATTATTGTGATCAATCCAACGCGAATCAATTGATGTAACGGAGTTGGAAGGTGATTCGAGTGTTTTAGTGATCAAAATAGAAGTTGTTTTTGTAATAGTTGGAAACATTTGGTATTATTGTGTTGACGTTCGCTGTTCATTGGGAGGCACACAATGGCTTAATTTTTACATTTAGCAAATTGGGGTGAGTGGGACAGGTGTTTTTGCAGATGGTTCATTCCCGATTCTGGTATAATAAAGAATAATTGTTTTATATGTTTGTTGTCAGTAAAATATTATTTACCTAATTTAAATATTGTTAATATAATTGAAATGTTTCTTTATTACTAATTATATAAGTACGTATCGTCGCATGCAGTATTTGCAGGACGGTAGGAGTCGCTACAGGTGTTTTGGGCAGATTTTTACGTTAGATATTAAAATGTTTCTTGTTAAATGTTTGCCAAATAATATGTATTTTAAATGTTGTTTTTTTATCATAATTGAGAATTGGGCTGACTTCTGTACCGAGGAATTTAACTGCGGTGTTCTGACGTGGAGGGTGTCTCTCTGATCGCTATTGCAGATACGCAATTGATCTTCTGAAGAGGTCTTTTGAAATCAAGTTTTGCTGTTTCACAAACCCCCACCTGGTGCCCAGCTGTTGTGGAATCGCCCGCTTCTCCGGAGGACAGAACACAATGCAAAGTCGCTCCTCATCGTCTTCCAACTTTTTATTACATTTAATGTTGTCTATTTAGCCAAGCCGTCGCCCATTGCAAGGATTCACGGCGGGAGGAGAGGGGACAGGACGGACCGGCTACGGATCCATAACTGATTTTTGGGTTGGATCGTGTGAGTACAATCCCTGTGTGTGCCGTATACCCTCATCCATCCGACACCACCAAACGAATAAGAGTTGTCACGGAAACCAAAGGGGCCGTCCATAAATGACGTCACGCGATTTTTGACGATTTTTGACCCCCCTCCCCCTTCGTCACATGGCGCCACAAAAGTCAGACCCCCCCCCTCAAATATGACGTCACAAAGCTCTGCCCCCCTCCCCAATAAAAAAAACATGCTTCAAATCGCTTTAAACTACTATTGTCATTGTAGTGCGTATTTAATGTGACGCTGCACTCTGATGTTGTAGGAGAAACCATTTATTAAAAAGTCTATTTAACTAAGTAGAACGTGTTTTCTATATTTATTTGAAGTTGCGCATTTTTACGTGACGTAACATTTCTCACCCCCCCCCCCCCCATCGCCACACAACGTCACAAATGTCTGACCCCCCCCCCTCCCAATTTCTAGGTACGTGGCGTCATTTGTGAACGACCCCAAACACACCAGTGTCGATTGCTTCAGCACAGCGGTACTTTGCAATCCACACACATTTTAACAGTTGGGTTAAATTGTCATTTTACTCACGCGGTCCGACTCGAAAATCTATGATGTAAGTTATCACGTGCAGTTCACATGAGAACGAGGTGAAATGAAATGGGAAAAAAATCGTGCAATGGTTCTGTGCGTACCGTAGGGGAAGGGCGTTTTGTGTTGGGGGAGGGAGAGGGTAGAGGTGAGGGTGAGGGATGGGGCGGTGGGAGATGAGGGTGGAGGATGGGGGTGGAGGATGAGGGTGGAGGGTGGAGGATGAGGGTGGAGGGTGGGGGTTTAGGATGAGGGTAGGGGGTGGAGGATGAGGGTGGGGGGTGGAGGATGAGGGTGGAGGGTGAGGGTGGGGGATGAGGGTAAGGGGTGGAGGATGAGGGTAAGGGGTTGAGGAATGAGGGTGCTGTTTGAGGAATGAGGGTGAGGGTATCTCGAGGAGGTGGGGGGGGGGGTAGTTGAATATCATGGCTGTCCCACTCGCAGCGCAATCGACAAACATCGTAAACACATTTTTATTTACTGAGGCTGCGTTGGCAGTGGTGAACAAGCACAGTAAACCTCCACATTCGCCAATAACACTTTGTAGCCTTAAAACAGAAAAAAACTAGAATAGGCGACGTTTCGAACAAGGGCCCTCCATAGCACAATGTATGTACAGTACTATAAATTATGTGTGTGCTTTAAATAAGGGCTATTGCTTTGAAGAAGGCGCCATTGCCCGAAACGTCGACTTGTACATGTTTTTCTCTTGAAGGGCCACAATGTTAGTGACGATTGTTGAGGAAACATTGTCGGCTTGGTAAACGTGGACCCCCTGACCTTCTCCACGTCGCCCAGGCCCTCCGTGTCGATGAGCAGGAGGCACTTGTCCTTGTGCAGGGGATGGGCTCTCGGCCAGATCCAGATGCCCTTTGTGTGCGACTGCACCGTGTTCCCCAGAGAGAACCCTGGGAGCCGTGGGGTGCGTGGGATGGATGGGGTAGGTGAGCGAGTCAGTTCGTTTCAAACGTCGACCCAGGTTGAGTTTTGGTCGAATATAAATGTAAGCGGCTACTCAAACTGCACGGGGTGATTGGTGTCCCCCCCCCACCGCCGCCTCCCTCTCATTGCCAATCCACTGACGTGGAATTGCCCGGGGTCACGCAGAGACACATGGACTTGGCCACGCACTCACGGACAAAGAACACCCCTACAGCCTTAACCCACTGTTGTTGCAAGTGATGCTATCGCGCACCTATGAAGGCCGGAACGGCGCACGAAAGAGGTGGTATGGCCAGAACCACGCCCTGCCGCCTTTATCTCCCAGTGCTGATTTTTTTTTTTAACACACCGTATCGTGTGGGGGGCGGATGCCCAGCAACGGTTCAGATAAGCGTCAGATATTCGTAGCAAGGGGCCGTCCATAAATGACGTCACACGATTTTGACCGTTTTTGACCCCCTCCCCCCACTCGTCACATGGCGTCACAAAAAGTCAGACCCCCCTCAAATATGACGTCACAAAGCTCTGCCCCCCCCCCAAACCATATTTCCATTTTGAAAATAAAACATGCTTCAAATCAATTTAAACTATTGTCATTGTAGTGCGTATTTAATGTGGCGCTGCACTCTGATGTTGTAAGAGAAAACATGAATTAAAAAGGAGGCGTTGGAAAGCTGAAATTTAGCATAAAATTCACTCGAAATATTCAACGTCTAACTAAAACTGCAGATGTTCAGAATATTATATTGAAATTCTCTAATAATTATAAAATATTAAAAGTCATTATAACTTTGAAAAAAATATTTGAAACTTTGAAGGAGAACGATGCAAAATAGAGAGTACAATAATAATCATTAAAATCAAAATGTTTAATAACAATCATTCAAAAGATGTACTAAATTTATGCTTCTCCATTCTCCCATGGAGAAGAAAAATGGTCCTTTATGGAATAAATAAAATGTGACCTTAGTACATTTAAATAATCGAATAGTTAATTATGAAAATTAATCTAAATTAGTGTTGTTATAACAATTCTATTTAATTAAGTGGAACGCGTTGTTTATATTTATTCAAAGTTACGCATTTTGATGAGACATCACATTTCTCAAACCCCCCCCCGCCTCCACTCGTCACACATCGTCACAAATGTCTGACCCCCCCCCCCCCCGCTAGGTGGGTGACGTCATGTATGGACGGCCCCCAACGTGGCTGAGAATCCAACTCAGGTGGCCCGGGTTCGTCGGGCAGTGCCCTGTAACCACGCGCACCGCACCGCGCCTCACCGTTGTTGGAGCCCGCGAGGCGGTTCATGAGGTACGACTTGCCCGTGCGGTAGCGGCCCGCGATCGCCACCACCACCACCGGCTGCCGGATGCTCGCGATCACCCCGGCGGTTTTTTCATCGACGTAGAATCTGCCGTCTTCGTCCGTGAGGATGAAGGGAAGGGGCCGCTCCACATGTGCCATGGCTCCTTGACTCATCTTTGGATATATTTACGTCTTCAAAGACTGGTACGCTAGCCGTTCGTCGCCGCTCTTCAAGGCCCGCGGGAGTCTCTGGCCACCCTTGACCGACTCTTGTTGCCTCTGAGCTCGCGCGGTCGCTCACTCACCTAGACAGAGCGCACCTTGGCTCTCTCCGTGGACTCCGCTTCTGTCTCGAGCCACCGCTTTTGCCACAGCTTTTAAAGCAGCGTTGAGGAGGCGGTCACCACTTCTCAAAATAGACTGGGATTTCCCCGACGTTTCGTGAACATTTTCACTTCCACATGAGTGTTTTTTTTATTCTCAGCACCACAGTGAAAAATGGCAGTTCCTCTTTCGATTTAGCCCTTAAGGGAACAATCGTAAATACCTCCAGAGTACTTTGTTTTAAACCATTTCGATTCTTAATTAATTGTATTTTGCGGTGACCGTCAGACCGCATTGTAACTGTTTCTCCCTCCCCCCTCCTTCCTTCCGAGTATGGATTGACCCGTCCGCCTGAATTTCGCTGTCCTTGGTGCTGGTTGTTGAGGAGATGGGAAAAACCGCAATTTTTTCTCTCCTTGGTGCTCTTTTCTCACTCACACCAACGCTAATCCCCCAGTTACATGCTAATTTATATGTAAACTCCCCTCCCCCCTCCTCCAGTCCCAGCTCGTTCGCTCTCCGCAATGTTAATCTCCCAGTTACATGGTCCTTTGTCAAGGCTCTCTGTTCCTCCCACACAGCTTAAAAGACGCTGTCTAGCTTGATAGGGTTCACTCAAGCGCTGTCTTCTGGACAGTCCTGTTTCTTCACCTGAGGATGGCTACTTGTGTTGTGGCAGAAACGTCGTGAGAATTTTATTGTTTTATTTTATTATTTTATTCTCATTCTACGTGACTTTACCGAAAGAACCAAGAAGATACTTTTGTATAGTTTTCATGAGTAGATTTGTGTAGTTTTCATGAGTACAGGAGTGTCCACAGACGATCGTAGTCATACAGTGATCCAAGTAATGATACCCTATTGACCTCAACACTTATTGTGTCACTTGTTAGCTCAACTCTTTTTCAGGAGGGTCCTGGCAAGTTAACCCAGGAAGGAGCGATAATGCCGTTTCAGCCGTTTCTCTGCAATGTCTCTTTAGTGTAGTGGGGCATCTGTGCATGTATCGCCCCGTATGCGTGACTACAGTCGCTGTGGTGCAGAGATACGTGCGATAAGGTTCGAGTCTAACCGCCGTGATGAGTGAGATCTGAACGGGTCATGACCCACACCGACTCACTCCATCAGCCAGCCGGCCGACCAGCGTTACCTCTAGATAGTGCGTCTACCATTTCTGTTTTTTTTTATCTAAAGAGCTAAAGGTGATGTACAAAATGTCGCGGAGATGGGACTAAAATTGGTCTCAACACCCCACGTAATCAACAATTAATTTTGTAATAGAGTGCTGTCCAAAATGAGGTTGTCTGACATGGGGCCATCCATTTAGTACGTACGGTTGACACACCGCCCCCCCCCGCCCCCGAATCCTCTAGAACGGCCGAAATTTAATCTACGCTGAAACGATTAAGGATTAATATTAACGTGTTTAAGCAAACAGATAGTCCATCGCCGGACTATCTAACTAATTTGAGGGCCAGTGTAGACAATTTATTATCGAGACTTCACCCCCCCCCCCCCCCCCCCACGTTTCCTATGCGTACGTACATTGACAGTAGACGCCCCATATGCAAGCTTATGCATTTCATATTCTTGGTTCTTTCGGTAAAGTCACGTAGAAGGGAAACAATAAAATAATACAAATATAAAACAATAAAATTCTCACGACGTTTCGACTGTTTTTGCTGTGGTTTTCACACCTGATGATGATTGCTTGTGTTGCAGTCGAAACGTCGTGAGAATTTTATTGTTTCATATTTTTATTATTTTATTGTTTCCCTTCGACGTGACTTTACCGAAAGAATCAAGAATATGAATCCTTGCAGTTACGAAAGCTTTAAACCTAAATTTTACGCATTTCAGTTAACCCCCCCCCTCCCCCCTTCATGCGTACCTACTAAATATATGGCCCCCATGCAGAGATACATATCTAAGAGTAATCTTTAAGCTTAGGTGACAGGTGGAAATTCGCACAGTTGGTTACATACAGTGTGTGAGCACATTCTTTGTGGTATGTTGAAAATGCTCAAAAGTGTTTAAAAAATTTGAAGCATCCTGTATTTATCTGGAGTGCGTGGCACCATTTGAGGTGCTGCTCACATCTCCCGTTTTGTGTTTGTCATTGGTTTTGTCATTTACATTGGCATCTCGTGATCTGTTGACAAAATTAAAAAGTGTGACGACTTTTTCACTTTCATTTATTTGCTTCCAGAAATTAGGTTAACCTCCAATGTCAACATGGTTCACATGCGGACTGCTTGCATGCACTGAGTGAAGTTTAATAGGAAATCTGACACTCACAGATTGAAGTTTGAAGATTAAATCGGAAACCAGAAAATACTGAATTGAGGCTATGATAAAATCTGACATTGGAATAAAATTTATTTATAAGCATACAAAGGACGTTTTTACACAGCTATTTAACACAATCGTATAATCAACGATATGAACAACTTAATATAAAAATACGTACAAATTGCATGATCTGCGAACCGCAGGATGTAATATATATAGGGGAAATTTGTGAATGTGTCTCTGTTCAAAATTTTTAGTGTACGTCCCGACATGCAACAAACTTCAAATTTGCCATGTGAGTACTTTCCAGACGCAATAATGCATATATTTTGCACGGCAAGTGAGCAGTGACGTCACATCTCTGTCATGTCACCCGCATTCGGCACCGTTACACAGCGTACCTGCTGATGTCATGCATCCCCCCCCCCCAAACCCTCCGCGAGTAAAGTGCCATACGAATGTGTTGCAGGTTTAAGGCGTTCTTCGCGCAGCATTGCTTTATTGTTTCAGTCGTTTACTGCCATACGCACCCTGAAAGTTGTGTCTGCAGCAAGCGCGTGTATGTGTACCTATTGACACACGCGTATGTGTGTGGGGGGAAAGGTAGTGTAGTGGTTAGCGCACTGCACTACGAACCCGGCCACCCGAGTTCGATTCCCGCTCATGGCCACCACTGGTGATGATTATTTGAACCGGTCCTGAGCCTCGCCTAGCTCGACTCAGCCTCAAACGAGTAACTGGTGTGGTGTGTGAACATCGCCACTGCGGGGACAAAGGCGGCCGGGCGTGGTGAATCCAAGTCCCGGGCGAAGCCTGGTAGTAAAGCTAGTTTAAGATAAAATCGGGCATTTTCAAGATGGCTGCCGGATCGGCTGAGCGGAATCGGTTAAAAAACCTCGAATCACGATCCGCAATGACCATATATGGGCAAAGATACGCCTCTTTGACCAACGGCACGCCCACAGTCTTCTATATGTGGGCAAATCTCTGATCGGTGATTTCGTCAAATGTACGATTTTGTGGTATTACATCGCCGTCCACCATCAGGGCAGGGTTGGAGCAGAACTCATTGGCACTGATTCGTCTCTCAGCCAATTCTGCAGTAGTAGACTCAAGACGGGCATGTTCAGTAAAGCTTACATGCCCGAAGCATAGCATGAATTCTAGATTTGAAGCTTTCGTGACTGCAAGGATCCATACTCTTTCGTAGGTAAAAAAATAAAACAACACAAGTGTGAGAGGGATTAAGGTGCCTCGACAAAGGAATTAGCATAAAAAAATAGCATTTGATTGGCGGACTTAGCATGATGAAAGGTGTAGCACGCGGCAGTGCACCTTTAAGCTGTGTGAGAGGGAGATTAAGGTGCCTTGACAAAGGAATTAGCGTGATCGGCACTGGCAGTGCACCAGCCTGTGCTGCAAAAGTTTGGAGTACCACTACTTGAAAAAATATACTGTACCAATGAGAATTAGTGTAATGTTTAGTTCGATTTAGAACATCTTTCCAATGGTTAGTTAATTTGAAACCATCTTCTCGGTTGAAATTGTGTCTGTGTTTGTAGATCTGAATTGCCTCGTGAACAAATCTCTGATAAAAACCTGTGGGTTTGCAAAGAACCTTGGTATCGGAGAAAATTATATCGTGATCACCCACAGCGTTGTAACAGTGATCAGCCACGGCAGAAGAATTCGTGCTGCCGTGTTTCAAATCTGATTTGTGCTCGCGAATTCGGTCAGAGACATGTCGCTTCGTCTCCCCGATATAGCAATCACCGCAGGTACAACTCAATTTGTAAACCCCGGGGTACTGTAAGTCAGGAATGACATCCTTCACGGATGGGATCAGATCACGAATTTTATGTACTGTATTGAACCGGACCTGGATCTTGTGTTTGTTTAGAATTTTGGAAATCTTTTTAGTAACGCCTGCTATATATGGTAGTGTGATGGTTGGCTCTGTTTCACTCGAGCGTAGTCTTCGAGACAGGCTGGTCCCTTCACCTGATGAAGGCCATTTGTGTTGTGGCCGAAACGTCGTGATTTTTGCTGTTTTATTTTTTTTACCTACGTGACTTTACTGAATAGAACCAAAAGAGTAAAGCTGCTACGCTTCGGTGGGCGTTTCTGAAACTTGCCCCGTCTAGCAAAAAAACACATTTGGTGAAAAAAAATGTCCCCATAAATAATGTAACGATAAAGTTTAATGATATGATGTACACACACAGCAAGATGTCAGGACGAATAACTGAGGGTACACCGCCGTGTTGCTGTATATCACTCCGCATAGCATTTCGTACGACTCAGCTACCCAGCTCAAGAAAGTAGTTAGTTGTCGACCGCTCGGAAAGCACGCTATAACGGTGCAAGTTATGCGTTATGACGGGCATGTTCCCTGTTATAACGGACGCGTGTGATGTGTTCTCGAATGGAAGAAAATGCGTTTTCTGAACATGTTTTAAGTGAGGACTTATCTCTTTATTTATAGGCATGCTAAAAGCTCTTTGTAATAACGAGCAAATTATATCTTGATTTTAAGCTTTCGTGACTGCAGGAATCCATACTCTTTGGTTCTTTCGGTAAAGTCACGTAAAAATAATAGATCACGACGTTTCGATCGCCACACAAGCAACCGTCTTCAGGTGGGAGTGAGAAACAGGCTGCTGAAACAAGTCCTTATATATAGAGCCGAGAGAGGGGGAGGGTTGCCACATCGGGCAAGAGGGTGGGGGCTGAAGCTTGTGCTGAGGTGGCCATTGTATTGTGAGAGATTAGCATGTCAACGAGTAGTGACGGTTTATCAGCACTAGGGGGATAGAGCGCTGAACAGGGTGAAGAAAAGGTAGCGCTGAACAGGGTGAAGGAAAGGCGCGGAGGCGATCGAGAGTCGAGTGTAATG